CTGGAGTTCCTGTCCTCCGGTTCCATCCTAGACCCTCCCCACCCCGGCTGCCACCCCTTGCGCTCCACAGAAATCGCTCCTGCCAAAGTCTGTAATGCCTTTTCCCAGCTAACACTCAGACTCAGAGCTCCATCCTTACCTTCCTTGGTTTGCCAGCCAGCTCTGACAATATTCACCACACTTCTTAAAATCTTGTCCTCCTTGGCTTCTTTAACTCTGTCCCCTCTGACCTCTCTAATCACTCCTTCACCATGTTCGTCACAGGATCTTCCTCATCCCCCCTCCAGCCCTCTGTGGGGTTCTGTCCCCACCAGGACTCTGTCCTTGGTCCCCTTCTCTTCTCCCGCTACATTTTATCTCTGACTCACAGATATACCTATCCACTCCAGCCCTGTCTCTTTCTGCCCAAACTACAATCTTGGCCTGTCTCTCTGACATCTCCTTGTGGCTGTCTCGTCATCAGCTCAAGCTCGATGTGGTTAAAACAGAGTTCCCAATCTTCCCCCCAAGTCCTCCCTGCTACCCCCTTTGTCAGTCACTGTGGATAACGCCACCATCCTGCCTGTCACTCAGGTCAGTAACCTGGGCGTCATCTTTGACTCGGACCTCTCTCTAGGTCCTCACATCCAGGTTATGTCTAAATCTTGCTGACTCTTTCTGCAGAACCTCTCTAAGATGTGGCCTTTCCTGTCCACCCCCACAGCAAAACTCTGCTCCACGCTCTCAGTGTCTTGTGTCTCGACTGCTGCAACATCCTTTTCTCTGGCCTTGACAAATGCAGGCTCATCCCGCTTAGATCCATCCAGAAGATGCTGAAAAGATCATTTCCTAGCTCATTGATCTGACCATGTCACCTCTCTCTTTGCCTCCCTCCACTGGCTCCTCCTTCTCCACTGCATCAAATATAAACTGCCTGATTTCAGCTGTGAGGCCCTTCACAGCCTAACCCCACCTGACTTGTCATCTCTCATTTGCTACCAAAATATCAACTCCCACCTCCGATCTGCACACGATCCCAGCCTCCATCAACCACTTTTTACATTTTCAGAAGAGCCCCTTTTTGTTCCATGCTGCCCCTCATGCCTGGGAGAAGCTCCTGGTAAATGGCTGCAAAACTACCTCATCCTCCAAAACCCTCCTCAATGCCCTCCTTTGCCAGGGTGCCTAAAAACTTAGATAACCATTAGGCCTTTGGTGCTCTGAGACCACAGCCTGTCACGCTGGCCAGTGCTGTCTACTTATAATCCCCCATCTGTCTATATCCATCTGCTGTCTCCTGTCTTATACTCCGATGGGACCGTATTTTCTTTTGTATCTGTACAGCACCTGGCACGGGGGGTCCAGGACCAGGACTTAGGCGCCTGGGTGCTGCCATATAGCGATAATAAATAACGATGATGACGACGATAGCAGGGCAGGGAACTTTACTTTTTTTAATTGGCTTCCGCTTCCCACTAGAAAGGCCCATCTTGTTGGCCCTGTTTTTCATGAAAGACTCTATGGTCAGTTGGAGAACTTGAGGGGCGGACGTGTAACCCGAGAAAACGAGAGGGGAAGGAATTATTATTTCGTGTCGTGGTAGCACATTCTAGCTTTAATCATGCTGGAGCTCCATTGTACTGGGTGCTGTACAGACAGCGCAAGTGACAGTCCCTGCTCCGAACCAATTACACTCATTGTAATTGCCAGTTTTGGTTGGACTTATTCCTGGATGTTTCATCACATGACATAATCTTTAATTAAAGATTAATCTTTAATTCCTGGAGACTCCAGGACAATCCTGGAAGGTTGGCAACCCTATGCTGATGCCACCTCTACCCAGTTTTTGCTCTGCTTTTAACTATTTAAGTTTTCTTGTTTGTTTCATTTTACCAAAATAATTAAATACACCCCCTAGTGTGAGTGCAGTTGGTACATTGGTACAGCCATGCTTTACGCCAGTATAGCTTATTGCTGTAAATGCAGGGGAACAATCTGTACCAGTATAACCAGGGCTTAAATTCAGCCGGAGCTGTCCAAAGCGGAGCACAGGTAAATATTTTCAGACCTGGACTCCAGCCTGATGCTGTTGAATGGTGGGACAGAGGGGTGAACCATGGGGGACTCCAGGAAATACTCGATGGCAATTTAAGCCTTGAGTATAACTGTGCCCACACTAAGGCTATGTCTGCACTGCACTTTCGTCGGTAAAATTTTTGATACACAGGGGTGTGAGAAAAACACCCCGACCAACAAAAGTGTTACCAATGAAAAGCGCTGGTGGGGACAGCGCTTTGTCGACACAACTATCACCCCTCGTTGGGGGTGGTTTTATTTTATCAGCGGAAGAGCTCTCTCCTGCCAACAAAGAGCGGCTACACTGAGTGCCTTACAGCTGTCAGGTGAGCAGTGTAGACATAGCCCAAGTGGTGATTTAGGCTAAGTCTATACTAGACAGTTCAAAGTGCTGCCGCGGGAGCGTTTCCACGGCAGTGCTTTGACCTGACAGCGTGGTCACCCACGAGCACTGGGGAGAGAGCTCTCCCGGCGCTCCTGGTAAACCAGGTCGACGAGGGGAATAGTTCCAAGGGCTGGGAGCCTGTCTACACTGGCGCTTTACAGCGCTGAAACTTGCTGCGCTCGGGGGGGTGGGGGTGATTTTTCACACCCCTAAGCCAGCAAGTTACTGCGCTGTGAATTGCCAGTGTAGACAAGCCCTTAGCTATGATGGTTTCAAATTGTGTAAAAATGGTACAAACACTGCATGTAGACCAGCCCTAAAAAGTTTATTCCACCTGTTTAAACTTCATTGTTAACACCTTGTCCATCTCTACTCACAAATTCACGCTAGTTTAAATTAAGGTATGAGTTAAACTGGTTTAGTTAAACCAGTGCAAGATGCTCTGTGGACACTCCTTTTCCAGTTTAAGAATGTCTTTTTTCAGTTTACCTTAAGTCAGTTAGGCCTTGTCCACATGGAGAGTTGCACCAGTGTAATTAAACAAAAGTGATTCAGTTAAACTGTACAAAACCCCACGTGGACACTCGTATTCCGATGTAAGAGCTTTTTTCAGTTCAGGTTAAGTTGCTGGGAAATCAGTTTAAGCTAAACTGAAAAAAGGCTACGGTTATGCCAAAATAAGAGGGTCCACAAAGGGGTTTGCACTGATTTAACTAAACCGGTTTAATTAAACCAGAGCAAATTTGTGTGTAACAAAGGCCTATTTAAACCAAGCATCTGTCGAGCAGAAGAAAGAAAAGCTGTCCTTGGTAAAGACTCAACACCCCGTGGCCCTTCATTTGAGGACTGAGAATTCCCACTGCAAGTCTCCGGTACTCCAAGGAGACCTCCAGCAAAACAGGGCAGATGAGACAGAATAAAACAAGGAGGGGAAAAAACCCTTTCGGGTCTTTGCTATCCCTTAGGAAGCAACAGAAATGGACACCCTATTTCCCCCTTCTCAGGTCACCTTTACTGTAATGAGCACAGAGGATTTTTCTTTCAACAAAGGCCCAGCCAGGCACCGACGGGAGCTGGTGCTGGATGTAACGCATTAAAAAAGCCAAACCAGCCAGTGAGAATGTGAGCTTGGCCCAGACCTTCTCTGATCAACATCAACGTCATTCTCTGCACACGCACACACACTCCTGCAGGTCCCAGGCCAAAGCTCTGCACCACTGGAGTTACACCAGTACTGGGAGTGAACCCCTGAGATGAGGGCCTCCTGTCTCGTTGCTGCAGGGATAACCCTACACATACACCCCACTCACTTCCCTGCTTTCATTCCTGGCCCCTGACTCAACCCCACAGGGCCAGGCTGCACTGGGCCTAATCCTGTTTACGTCAAACCAAGCCTGCTACTTAGGTGACACAAGAGAAACAATGTGCCTGAGACCACTTCAAACAACCCCCCCAGGCCAACCCGCAGCCTCACGCAGCTGGATAAGGGCTGCTGAGCTCCCTGGGGTCTGAGCTGCTGCCACACGGCGAACTCTGGGCCAAGATTGGGGCCATGGAAGATTCAAGTCCATGCTAGGAAACGCAGGATGTGCCTGTGCCTGCCCCTCCCCACCTTACTGGCACCCTGAAGCTCTTTATCGGGCAGTCACAGGAGATCCCAACAGCACAAACAGCAGTTGTTCCAGGCTCTGCAATGGGAGCTCGCACCCAAACTGAGACCTGATTAATGCAAAGATCCTGGGCCTCCAAACTCTCCCCTTGCCCTGGACACACTGCCAGAGACCGGACACATCCCCTCCCTAAACTGACACCTCTAATTAGACTTGTCTCCATTACAGACATGTCCCATCACTGACCGTGGGGTTGCTGGCCTGGTGCTGACAGAGCCCAGCTGTATGTAGCCAAGGACAAGCCACACTCAGGAGTTCCAGGCACTGGGGTTAAACCCAGCGTGAAGAACCTTCTGGGAGCCATTAAAGGTCAGAGAGATCCAAGAAGCCTTTTCCCTTCCTGGTCTATCTGGGGGGTGGGGGGGAAACAGGCATCATGTCTGAAAACCCTGCCCTGCCCTGATACGCTGGGAACGAAACAGCCTGGGCAGTGCCTGGAACCCGGGATTTCCCTGCAGCCTGGGAGCCTCACGGGGCTGCGACAGGCCTGTCAGCGTGAGCAGCACCCACAGGTGCTGGTCCTAATGGTGCCACACCCCCTGGCTGGGAGTGGTTGGCATTAAATGAAGGGGTTACAGTTCAGTGGCTCTCAGCCCCCACAACACACGTAGTCCCAGCAGTGCCCCTGGCAGCACCTAGTACAAGGGGGCCAGGCCCCCGCCCCCAGTCACTATAGCAATGTCACTGTTCAATGTCAGTGACCGCTCAGTGCTGGGGGGGAGCGCGGTGTGGTTATCCCGACACCTCTGAACGCAGAGCCCAGAACTGCCCCCCCTGCACCCCCCGGCCCGGCTGCCCCCCGACACCCAGCTCCCCCCTCCCTGCACCCCCCCGGCCCGGCTGCCCAAGTCCTGCCCCCCCCCCCCCGGGGGTCTCACCCCGATACTCACGGGAGTGGCCCCCCCCGCAGGGCTACAGCCCCCAGTAGCAGCAGGCGCAGCGCCAGGGCCATCGCTACCCCCCTGCAGCGCGGCAGGACTCGGCCCATGGACCCGCTCACAGCCCGACCAGGCCCCGGGAACTTCGCTGCGAGCTCCCGAGTCCCAGCTACTCACCGTGGGAACCTCCAGTCTTCAGGGATTGGCTGAAAGGGGAACATCCCACCAATAGCGACGCACAGACCCGATCCATCACCGGTCGCTGGGCAGAACCCGGCTGGGCAGGTTGACGAAGGGGAAGTTAAAGTGCGGGGTTGGCGCCGCGGAGAACTTGTCCCCGGGGCTGCAATGGCCAGAGCAGCAGTTGAGGACCAGCCCAGTGATGCTCTGCGCGTGGCTGGGCTATGCTCTGTAGGTTTCTCTGTGAGAGGGGTTCTGAGGCCAGCCAGCGGCACCGCTCCTGAAGTGGTTCCCATCACAAACGGGGGGGGGGTTACAGTTCGGGTCAGTGGCTCTCAGCCCCCCACTGCATACATTGCTCCCTGTGCACCCCCGGAACTTTTCGCTCATCTAGTCTGACCTCCCGCAGCACCCAGGCCTGAGACTTCAGCACTTCATGAATTTAGCCCTTCCCTTTGCGGTGAGTGATACCACCATAATCCCTGGCACTTCTATGTAACCCTTCTGCCCATTTAAGTTGGCAGCAACAAGGGCCGGGTTCTGTATCTAGGGGCTCCGCTTCAATAACGCAATGCAAAACCGGCTCGAGCCCCCACCCAGTGACCTGGGACAATTACATACCACCCCCTGGGTGCCTCTAAGAGGCAATACTTCCCCTCTCCCAAGCACGGAGTCTGAGTGTAACAAAAAAGTGTTTAATAACATGAGGTAAACGACATCAGCATTAAATTGGAAAAAACACCACAAACAGGATCCATAACACAAACCATGAGCAAAAAAAACCCACCCCAGCAAGTTAGGCTGTGTCCTTTCCCTTGGGTTCTTGAAACCAGCAACCCAAGGATCACCAAAGTCCCAAAAGTCCAACAACCCCCCAAAGTCTCTGTCCCTGGTCAGTGCAGCCCCAGAGTTCGGGGGGGGGCCACACAGGGCATTAAGGGGCACCTTACGTGATCCGAGGCCGACGGGGTTCCGCCACAGCCTTCACCACGAGCCGCTCCACTCCACCAGCTGTCCTGTGAGCTGCTCCCGCCATCCCACGAACTGCTCTGGCAGCTGCTCCACTCTGCTCACCGACCTGTGAGCCGCTCAGCTCTGCTCCACTTCAGCCGTCCCTTGGGCCACTCCCACAAGGCTCTACTCCGCTCTGCTAGCTGCTCCTCCAGCCACTCCGCTCCGCTCACCGACCTGTGAGTCGCTCAGCTCCACTCCAACCGTCCCGCAAGGCTCCACTCTGCTAGCTGCTCCACCAGCCGCTTAGCATTATAGCTTCAGGCTCCCCCACTAGTTAACACAGCCTCAGTGATCTCAGCTCTTTTGTGATTTCAGCTCATAGTAGGGGAGCTCCAGTGCTAGTGCACCATTGGCCCAAAGTGAATTCAGTTCAGCAGTCTGTAACTAGACTTCTAATGGAATCAAAGTTAGCTCTGGGAAGTAGAGCAATTGGTGTTTCAAACCCCTCAGAGAGTGGCCCATGCTATCAGGTACAAATACCT